GCTTGCCAAGTTCAGAAATAGAGTTAGGAGATGTATGAAGACAACGACTGGTTACACGTTGATATAAAGAAAGTCAAAATTAACGTTGTTCATTATTGTGATTCAAATTTGGATAACTTGTACTTTAATTAAATACGATTTTATACTTATCATAGCGCTAATCCGTAAAGTTAGAGATGATGTTCTACATAAAGACAGTCCATTATGTAGATCCAGGTCTAATTAATAAAAAATTCGATGAATTCACCCACAATTGATATACAATGTGCATTGATGCAGAGCCATAGTAGTTTTCGTTAATGTTGTGACCCGTTCTAGGATTTGACCCATTTCGATTTTGCAAAAATGTGATAATTACAGAAAAATTTTTATCACAGTGATACACATAGCATGCTATTCACGATAATACTAACAAATGTTCATTCTAAAAACAATAATCGGGAATTTACCTGCCATGTCGCATATACAACCTGCACAGGTCGTGAGCTTCATTGGACACTCAGATGGCTTCTCCTCCATAAATAGAAACATTATGGACTGTACAACGTGTTGGGATGTGCGACCTGGCAGGTAAATTCCTGATAATCTAAAAACACCTGTGATATCAAATGTATGAGCATCATGCAAAAGCCATTCTGACCAAGTAAAAACCAATGTGTGTTAGAGAGGATATACAGTAGGATGCAAAAGTATCCCCCCACTTCTAATTCGGGACACAAATGAGTAAATGCTTTGAAAGTTTCCCTGTGTATAATAAACCCTGATCACTTGTAAAATTTCAGCTTGATACAAGATTACTAATTATCTATTTGCAAAGCCTTGTATTGGCAGCTTGAACCTTCCAAGACACTGGCAATGAGTACTGTATCAGGTACCAAAAAATCCAAGAACCATGTTACAGTTTTGCTTACATGTAATGCTACCGGAACAGAAAAGTTGCGACCACTTTTCATCTATTGCTACAAAAATCCACAAGCCTTACTACAAAAAAAGAAGAAAGATCTTCCCGTGGACTATTATTGGAATCATACTGCGTGGATGCAGCATTCGATCTGGGATGATTTTCTCAAGAAGTTAAATAGACAAATGTCTCAATAATCATGAAGGATTTTTCTTCTTGTTGACAATGCAACTGCTCATGTTAATGCACAGCTGTCTCGTGTGAAAGTCCATTACCTCCCCGCTAACACTACTGCACACTTGCAGCCGTGCGATGCCGGCATTATAAATTCATTCAAGGTAACGTTATGAAGTTCAAGCCTGCGTCCTTGAACTATATATTTTACGATAAGCTTAATCTATTCTGTAAGCTCAATATATGAACGAATACGAATGCCTCCAACACCTAATTAATGAACTCGATAGTAACAATCAAATGAATGCTGTAGAATTCGTTTCTTTCGATAATGACATACAGACTCGAGGAAGATGGACGAAGAAATTGTTGGTTCTGTTCAATCGATGTCTAAAGACACAGAGAGTGACGGCGAGGAAGAGACTGTTTCCATAAAAAACGTGTTAGAAAGCTTGGATAATGTGTTCAATTTTCTCGTTCATCCACCCGCAGGTTTTAATTGCAATGCAAGAACTGTATCAACAGTACGCTCCTTACGAAAACGAGTGCTAACGCACCACGTCAATAATAAGAAACAGTCAATGCTAGACGATGTTGTTATCAGAATGTAGTTTGTAGTATCACAGAATATCAAACAAGATAGATAATATATTGTATAACGTTTTTTTTTTTTTTTCGTAACTATTATGTTGTCGCTATAAACAGAATTCCTGGTATTAACGATAGTTCGCTATATAACGATAAAAACGGAAGTATCGTTATATCCAGTCTTGACTTGGCTTGGTAAGCGGCTGTAAGATACTGTCAATAAATTACAAATCCGAAAATCTAGAAAAAGAATTATGTTAGTAAAGCAAAAGGCTTGCATATTAAACAAAATAAGATTGTCTTCTCTTTATGAATTATAATGCTCACATTACAATTAAATGCTTTCAGTGCTCTCATATTCTGCCGTGATACGATTATACATTTCAATTGCTTGCATATATTGTTTTTTCCTCCTTTCTAATTTCTGAATAAGCTTATTTGTTTCTCCTAACTCCAACCGAAGTCTACGATTTTCTTCCAATAAGTACGTCGGTTTGACCACTGACCTGTGTGAAAAATTTTCCCACACCAAGTTTAGGTAAGAAACTTGGGAATTAACTTCATATACGTCTTTCCAATGCCAATATTCATTTATTGTGACGATATATTTTCTGAGAACATCAATACAAAATTCGCCTTCGTTTATATTTGAAGTATCTTTTCCAGTGTAAAGCTGCTTTCGCCTTCTGTGGCGTACCAAATTTTTACCGAAGTAGAGACGAGTACTATATTTTATTGTTAACTGGTGAGAAAAAGAAAGCATCATTGACAGTTTTCGAACTAATGTTGGGATATGCGTAATCACTTTTAATAGATCCGCAGTAAAGTCACGCTTTCTGAAATACAATACAGTCGACCTCATCCTATACAGTCACACCTCCTATACGGTCACATGCTTGCCATTTTCATAAAGCTTATTTAAGAAATTCATACTTTCTATAGAGTATCTATTGTTAACAATCAAAGCATCAATAACAAATTGACACTTAATTTGGAAATAGTTTTAAAAATTTAAAGAGAAGAATTAGCATCAATGGTATTTCAAAAACGAGAGTTGATACAGCCTGTAGGGGAGGTGACTTCTGTATTAATATCCCACAAGTTAAAATCTTTGCATCTCTGTGGTACATTTCTTGCGTGACTGGCTAAATTAGGAGTCGCTTGGGAGGACAAGCAACTCTCTATTATCAGTTGTATGTAAAAGGTAGTGAGGCACAATTGGGATATCACGTATATGTTCTAGCCCAAATTGGAATTTGGGCCGGCTCATGTTGGGATTTTGGAGTGTCGATCATTACTCATAAAACATTATCGCCGTATTGCGTGCTTTTTCGTGGTTGTTTTCTTTGTAAAACTGATGCGATTTCATGTAAGAAGCAAGATACTTAGATAAATAAAAATTACAATCCTTGACCGCAATCACCAATCGTAAAATCATGTTCAGTTTTTTGTCTCTCTTGAAATATTTAATAACATTATCGCCAGTCAATCGTCGATCTAAAGCTCTAATTACATCAGTGTTAGCTGAAAATTTTAAGAAATCAAGTATCTGCTGTACCTCAGTTGGAGACTTGTCTCAGTTCTGGACAGAAGACAACTCAGTCCAGAACTGAGACAAGTCTTCAACTGAGACACAACAGTTACAAGAGTGTATTAATAAATAACTTACAATTTAGATGGCTGTGGGAAAAATTCTATTCAACTCCTCTAAAAAAGCTAAATTTGACAATACTTCTTATTTCTGGGGTCAGCACAATTTAATAACTGCGGAAGCTTCACTTGTGTCAAACTGTGAAGTTTTAAGTGAATTGAAGAATAGGGATATAAAAAACTTCTTAGAGATAAAGCCTCAATGTATTATTACGACAATGTTGTAGTTGATACCTGTTTGTACATTTATTTTGAGAACAATCATGTTTAGAATCATCATGTTGCTCTGCATGTTTGACTTATCCCTACATTAAACAGTGACAACCCATTTCTAATCGGGCGTCGCATCAATGTTTATTACAACAATGCTGTAGTTGATACTTGCTTTGTACATCTATTTTTAGGATAATCATATAGTTATTCGGGGCTCGACATATTGGTTTATCCCTACATTAAACAATGATAGCTCTATTTTTAATCCGGCGTTTATTATTAGAAATTAAGGCCTCAATCATTATGATAACAGTGTTGTAACTTACCTAGTTGCTGCATCTATTTTAGGGACAATCATCTAACAATAGGTTTCGAACTTTATTATTAAAGTTCTAACATTCCGATTAGTTCTAACAATTACATATTCCGATTAGTAAATTGCCATATCAGTTTGATAAACAAAGTTATTGAAACACTCTTGATAACATTGTTGTAATTCAAACTTTTTATATAAAGCCGTCGACTCTTGCGCAATTTTTCTAGCAACGATATAAACATACCATATTTTTATAAACCTTTTTTAAAATGGTTATTAATTTCCGTTACCATTACGCTCTTGTGCCCGTAACCTATCGGCGTTGGTTGGCGAATGTAAGGAAACATCGACGACTAATTGAGTTGAATACAAGTAGAGTTGTCGCTATACGAGCGGGACTCGAACAAGTCAGAAACGAAGTAGGGATTATCATTAGATCTTGCCCTAATCGACAATTTACATTTATTATAGTTGACTTTTTTACAAATTAAAATAGATAAACAAAGAAGATCGAGAAAAGTGGGAGATTGATTTTCGGAAACCAGTGGATAATACGTTGGCACAACTCGTCGATGATGGCAAGTTTAAAGATTATTTAAAGAAGTTCTGTGAGAAACACAGGCAGGACCCAAAGGCGGTAACGGATTGCATAGGTGGTCTCTACCACCATGCCTCCAAAGGCTTCACGGCCGCTTTCCGTATAAAGTAAAGCTCTGTGAGCTCGACTGGACGGATACCGAATTGGCAGCATTGTGTGCCATTTTTGAACTTTATAAAATTCCTTGCACTTTTGTGAACGCAGCGGGAGGCATATCTGATAATCTACTCATAAAAAAGAAAAAAGAAGAAGAAAAGAGAAAAGAAGAAGAAAAGAGAAAAAAAGGAGAGAAGAGAGAAGAGGGGGAGGAGAAAAAAAAGGAACCATAGCGCACGTTTTAGGATAATCATGCAGCTATTGTTGCTCTGCATACTACATCACAGAGTCACAAATATTGTAATGGATACCCCTTTATACTGTACATTAATCATGTAGTTATTGGTGCCACAATTCTATTTTAAGCTATGCGCAAATGTTGTTATATTTTCAGCAATAGGATACATCGATGAATCCATGTGAATTGCTAGTTGCGAAAGTGTATTAATAAACTTTTTATTTTCTTACATGAATCGAAAAGCCTCAATGTCAAAGATGTGTGGTTGATACTTGTTCTGTACATCTATTTTTAGGATATATAATGTAGTTATTGTGGGGTTTGGCATATGATTTATCCATATATTAAACAATGACAACTCTATTCTAACCGGGTGTCTTAATCAACGCATCAACAACAATGTTGCGTAGTTGGATACAGTCGAATTAACGCCAATCAGATGTACTTAATGGTAAAACTTGTAATAAATTAGTGCTGGTCGAATAATTGAAAATTTTTTTATCACAAAATTAATGCTGCCGGTCGAATGAATTAATCCTTAAATGGAAATTATTGACCATATTAACAACCGTAATTGTAATATTAGTTATATGTACTGGCTGAATAGAAATTATTTGAGCGGTCGAATTAACAAATAATCGAAAATTTACAAGTTCGATCGTATGAAAAAATCGGGTCTCACTCAAGACGATCGAATTACTGGAAAAGTCGAATTATGGGGGGTCGTACCTGTTTTGAACATCTTTTTTTTTTTGTAGCTATTGCATATTGACTTATCCCTACATCAAACAATAATAACTCTATTTCTAATCGGGCGTCTTCAGTTAAAGCCTCAATCATTACAATAATAGTGTTGCAACTTACCTGTATGTAGGGGGACAATCATCAATCGTAGGTTTCAAACTTTATTATTTAGCAACAAATCCCTATCCATGACTGCGTTATGATCACTTTCTCAACCGTTGATATCTTCTTGGTAAGCAGATCAAACTAATGTGGCAGGAATTTTGTACATTAGACAACGCATATACAATGAAAGACTTGTTCTAGATCCAGAGGCATTCAAGAATATGCTTGAGGAAGCTGAAAGGTTTTTCCAATCAATTACTAGCAGGTACTAACTCGCAAGTCAAGAGTCATGCAACTAATAATAAAAATAAGAACGATTAGTTTCTTTTTAGCAGGACTTAATAATAAATTTATTAACGGAGATCGGACTTTTACTAGATGCATCCGGAACATCTTCATCTGTAATAGAAAGCTCGGTACGCAGAAGGACATACATTACGAGTGCTTTTCGTTTCAATTAGAAAGTCAAAAGAACAATCCTAAAAATTGAAGTAACATGTATGTCAGTCACAATGCCAGCGCAAGCAATAAGATGAATCTGCCTTTACTGCCACTCGGATAAAACATAGCGACAGCAACCTTTATATAATTTCCAAGATCACAGCTTGCATCTAGTAAATAAATATATGCTAATAGTAGTAAGGTTAGTAGACAACGACATCTTACATCGCCCTTCCCCTTTCGTTCAGACATCTGATTACATATCCAATTGTATTATCCCATCAACCAAGAGTTCTAATTCCTTTCATTAAATCATACGTGTAAACCCTATAAAATTATATTCTTGTAATCGTGTCGAGTACAATTCGATCAGTAAAATAATGACTCATTAGTGAGTAATGATATAGCACACCGGAATTTTCGTTTATGTGTTCTGGTTACAAGACAAGATATGATAATAATAAGTGATATCGGCATAATACTTGTGACATACTCACGTGATGAGATCATCACGAGTGTAATGTGCCCACGAGACCTGGATATTAGATAAAATAAAAATCTGCAATATTACTGATTCATAAATATCGCAAGCCCACTATATTCACAAATCTCATCAGGATATTTTTAAAAAACACAAGTTTCTGTAAAGAATGTTTCTTTTTCGCCCCCGCCAGCTAACTTCTCGAGCTCTACGACA